TCCAAACATGTCTCCGCTGCACGTAGTATTTAAATTCTCTTATCTCTTATCATTCCATTATAGACCAGAAAAACAGTGCTTCTAACTTGACCATCAGAACTGTGCCAGTCTTCAGAATTGGATAGGAAAGTAGCCACAGTTGCAGATACGAGCCAGTCTCCACTGGTAAATCTTCCCTAAGATGAACCGAATGTCAGAATTGCTAGTAGAGTGGGTGGGCAATATTACCCGGACAAAAGTGGAGAAGTTGATTACTGCATAAATGAGATCATGGATTGCGAGTATTTTCAGGTACTGCAAGTGAAGCATTTACATAGTAGATACTTAAAAAAGCACAAAATCGCAGTAGATGGGCCAACTGCCAGTTGCACTGGTTGAGATCTATATTACGAATTAGCATTTGCCCCAAGTACTCGTGAAATTCACGTCTTTCCCTTCCCAAATTTCGTTTTGCCTTATTTATTTCCTTAAATTTTCATATTCTCTTTTCATTTTGAGAGACAACAGATAGACAAAACGGATTACTGAATGGCACTCATACAATATTAAAAGAAAACGGGGAAGGCCACCAGTGCGTTTTAAGGACCCCGTTCGAACAGCTATATGGAATTATGTGAATGAGAGAGGTCGGACACGGAGAAGAATGGAGAAGTTGCTAGTTGCATCAATGGCAAGAAGAAACGTGACATTTTGAAACAAAGTCGGAATTTTCACTGCAATTTGATTGCGCAATTGTCATTGTAAGGGAATTTAGGCTGATGCAAGATACTGAAGTAGCTCCCTGCAATACCAGCGACTCTGGTGCTTTCGCATTAATAAGGTGATTGCTGCTCATCGCTGTGCTCCAGAACTCACCGGGGCATATGATTACGTCGCAAGGATTAATGAGAGCTCTCAAGGCGCAGCTGCCCCAGGCATAATTAGAAGCATTCTAATAACATCACTAACATGGCATACCCATACCGATAGCTCGGGACGGTCCCGGTATTTCTGGTATATGGAGTGTTTAGTGAGGTCAGGCGCAGTAAAGATTAAGTAAAGAAAAGAATGAATTGTTGTGGTACTAAAAAAGAATGTATACTATTTCATGGATTAAAAAAATTAATATTTTTTCAAAAATTCTATTTTTTTAAAAATTTAAAAATTAACCCAATTTTTTTAAAAATTCTGTTTTTTTAAAAATTTAAAAATTAATTCTAATTAATAATTCTATTTTTTCTACGTACAGAAAAATTTCCCTTATTTTAATTCTACTTTTTTTTTTTCTTATATAAAAAGTTAAAAAATTACCTACATATATTTATTATACTAACAAAAAATTTGGAAAGTTCCTCAATAACAGTGTAAGATTATGGTTTATTTTGGAAAAGATTGGAAAATAAATAAAGGGCTACAAAAGGAACATGTGGCATTATTTTGCAAAACATGACTTAATGGACCGAAACATTCCAGTTCAGCGTTCCCGTTGTTCAGTTTCTGTTTGTTACTATAATTTATTTGCCAAAAATTAATTTACACAGGAAATATACCGCAAAGGAAAAGTTAGGGAGAGAAGCAACCTGAGAAATGTTCCAGTAAATCGCTTATACCCCCTTTTCCAGTACCACAATTGCACATAACACACATAATTTTACGATGAAAACGAGAAACTCACCTCTCCCACGTGCACGCCGCCCACCACGCGCTACGCCGTCAAACCGCTCAGCACCAGGATCCATCACGCAATAACCCGGCTTCAGCTGAAAGTGATACTTTTAAGGCAACTACTAAAACTCGGCTCGACCGCGGTTCTGGGTCTAGGTCCGGATTGCAAAAATCGAGGCATCGGTTTTTGGTCGCAGGTGAGGTCCCTTAAAGTTTTATTGAAAATTTTAGAGATATAAACAGTGAAGCGTCCGTGACCAGTAGATTGAAGGAGGAGGGAAGGGGAGGGGGAAATCTGTGCGTTAAAATGTGTACTTGGCTTAGCATAACACCCCCCACAAGGGAGAGAATTGCTGACTGCCCCCTTCAATGTTAATTTTGAGGTAGAACACGAAAAACTCCGTATAGGCCCTTACCCCCTCCCCCCCTCGCGCCTTCCCCCTTTCCGCCAGTAAATTGGCTCCTGCTTCCAACTCCTGCCTCCAAGCAGCTTTCAGGCTGACCATGAAAAACCCGT